CGAGATGGAAGTAATGACAGGCAAAAAGGACAAAGATCGGTACATGAGGAAAATGCAGATGAGTGGGCAGATATAGTAGAGAAATGGAAAAAGGAGGTAGGGGAATTGATTAGAAGGGAGATAGGTGAGCAAATAAAACAAGGAAATAAAGAAATTACAAGAGGAAATAGCAGCATAAAGAAAGTATTTTGAGAACAGGTGGAATACCTGGATGGTACAAGTAAAAGATAAACAAAAGGCTATAAACAAGAGGCTTTAAACAACAGATTTGATAGGATGGAGTACTGGGGAGAAGAATAAATCATGGGGAAAGAGAAGCAGATGTAGTGGTAATACAGAAGGATGCTGGTATGGGGCGTTGGATGTAACGCAAAGTTCAGGGAAATTTAGTAAAAAGGAAAAAATTATCTTTTACCAACACCTACTAATGCAGGTCTTATTATCCTTTCGTGCAATCACTTTCCTATTTTTTATACAACTACAATTGTTTCAGCTTTTTTACCTCCAACCTCCTGAAATTATTTTATATCGATAACTGTTGTGCATATTGATAATTAATGACAGCATGTTTTACTTACAAAATAGATCTTACTTGTTGAAAGTGCTTCATGTTGATTAGGATCAAGTTTTTCTTCTATTGAACTTACTTAAATTAAGCCATGCTTCTTAAACACCTAAAATATTACACAGAAACTTTCATATGATAATACTCAATTTATTCTGTTTATATTTTTTATATAAAAAAGAATTAAATTATCTTACTTTATATAATTGTGCTTCTGTGTAAGATGTAACGTGCGATGTATGTGCATTCGTCCAAATTACTTTTCAACCAATCCGGTCTTTACAGCCTCTAGTTTATCTTCTACTTCTAGGTACCATCCAGGTATTCCACCTCTTCTCAAAATCTGAAATGTTAAGAAAATTGGATGCCACATTAATTTTACGGCTGTCTATTGATTTTGAAGAGAAAATGGATACTTTTCCGAGTATTTAACAAATATAAAGCTTAAGCGATTAAAAGTGTAGTTGTAAAAGTGTACATTTTACCTTTAAATACATGCACTTCTTTTAGAAATGTTTGTTACCTAATTCTCGTCCGTTAAGTCTGCATCGTCTGCGTCTGCCCTGTCCTTCCAAAAATTACGTGCAATATTCTCTTGTGCGGCTGGCCTACGTGAACCCCGTTTTTTACTCCTTACTCTCTCCTTCGCAGCTCGCAGAGCTTCTATCACGTTTCTTTGAAACTCTTGTCGAGACGGTTTCGTGAAGTACGGATTTTTACATACAGCATCTGAAAAGTAATGCAACATGTATTACTCAGTACTTTATATGTGCATGCAAAGGAAAATTTAAGAAATAGTACCAAAAATGGCCATCACAAGTCGTGTATCGTATAATGGCTTGTGTCCTTTGTGGCCCCACCACGTATAAGAAAGAGTCATCGAATCGATGATGCTTTCTTTCAAACATAACGTGATTGCTTCTTTCACGTTGAAACCACCAATGTTACATAAATATTGCACCTAGAGCAACAAATTTGCATAAAAAAATAAAAAAACAATATATAATGAAAATAAATTTCGCAATGAGTGACAGTGTAATGATTTTGTAACAGTCACACCCGTTTGTAATAAGTTTAATAATACGAATTAATATTCATGGTAAGCAATATATTGTTATTCGAAATTTCATTTACATTACTTATTGCAGGAACTGTAAGATTAAAGAAAAGTGTAGGAATGTTAACAAAATCGTTTTGTTTACCGCGATAGTTTCAAGAATATTTTTTTATTCGCAGGCGTTTAGACAATTGTAACATTGAAATGTTCAAACTTTTGTGGTTAACAATACCATTTTATTTACAACACCTATGAAGTTTGATTTTATTTCAAACTTGTTGCAATAGATAATATACATGAAATTGTGTGTAACATATTGCTTACCATGAATACGGACTCGTATCGTCAAAGTTATTACGACAAACGGATGCAACTGTTACAAAATAATACATTGTCACTAATTGCGATCTTTAATTTTTAAAAAATAATAGTTCATTCATTGCGTGCGTGCTTGTGAATGTATGTAATAAACTTCCATTACTTAAAATGTTTCAGTAAAAGTTATTGCATTAGTCAATGGAGATATTTACTTTAATTAATATGAGACAGATGTAATAACGATACTTTTGTTTTTTACTTACAACGTTGGAGTATTCGTTTTCGTCTAATTCTTCAAATGCATCCATCTGGACGATTGATGTAATCGGCAAACAGCTCGGTTTTCTTACTGCCGAATGATTATGTTGTACACATTTGGCTATATTTTGTACCAATGACAAAATTCTTCTGCAAAAGAAAAAATAAATATTCAATGAAAATGTTACACAATCAGTATGTGCATTATAAATAGAATACGTATACTCAAAGTTTACATATTTGTAAATAGAGTTAACTTTTTTATATATGTATGTATATATATATATATATATATATATATATATATATATATATATATATATA